CCCCGCTCCGGGTTTGGGGTTTGGGGCAGGGTTTGGGGCAGGGAAGGGTTTGGGGTGAGCAGCTCGTCCTTTGTGGGGTCTCTGCCCCCCATGAGCCCCCCATGAGATGTGGGGCCGGGGCTGTGGGGCTGGGGACAATGAGGGGACCTTGTCACCTCCCCGCGGTGCCCGAGCCCGCCCGGGAAAGGGGCCCAGAGCTGCTGCTTCACATCCTGACCCTGAAACTCCCTGCCCCATAGGGACTCTCCTGCCCTATAGGAGACCTCCTGCCCCATAGGGATCCTCCTGCCTCATAGAAAACCCTAGAAGGACCCTCCTGCCCCATAGAGACCCTCTCTTGCCCCACAGAGACCCCTCCCCTGCCCCACAGAGACCTCTTCCATGCCGGGCTCTTCCCCCGCCCCCTCCATTCCCGATCCATTCCCGGTGAGTTTTCCACAGGCTGGGAAAATCCCAGCGGTGAAATCCAGGCCGGGAAGGTGACTCAGGGCGGGGCTGGAAGCTCATTTTCCTCATAACTGTGTTGAAAACGAGAGCGAGCCTGGAGGGTTTTCCCGCGGGAGAGGAAGGGGTGACCTGGTACAGGTTCGTCACCCCCCGCTGGAATTTGGGGATGCTCCAGATGCTGAGGGCGGATCCAGGATCGACTCTGATGTGAAACTGGAACCTGGTTTTTATTCACCTCCTTGGTTAAACTGAGTTTCCTTTCGCTCGTTGTTTATTACAGTTATTATTATTATTATTATTATTATTATTATTATTATTATTATTATTATTATTGTTGCTATTATTGCTATTATTGCTATTATTGCTATTATTGCTATTATTACTATCATTATTATTGTTGTTGTTATTATTTTATTTAATTTTATTTAATTTATTTCATTTAATATTATTTTATTATTTTATTTTATCTTATTTCATTTTTAATTTAATTTAATTTCATTTCATTTAATTTCATTTCATTTTATTTCATTTCATTTCATTTCATTTCATTTCTCAGACTGGAAAGCTGCCAGCCTTTTGCGGGTTTTTGGGGCTGTCACACGGGGAACTGGGGTTGGGAATCCACGGCTGGAAAGGGCAAATTGTGAGGAGGGGGAGGGGGAGGAGAATTCCTCCTGGGATTATCCCGAATTTCAATCTCCCCGGGCTCTCATCTCCCTTTTCCCACCTGGATCCCTCCCTGTCCCAGCCCGGAGCAGCCCAGGGACAGAACACGGGACAAATCCCGGGATCCTCGGGAAAACCGGGATCGGCAGCAGGGAATCCCTAAAAACAGCTCCCCTATCCCCCCTGGGAAAACCCGTCCGACACGGGGCAGCCGGGAACGAGCCGGGAACGAGCCGGGAACGAGCCGGGAGAGAGCCGGGAATGAGCCGGGAACGAGCCGGGAACGAGCAGGGAACGAGCCGGGAACGAGCCGGGAATGAGCCGGGAACGAGCAGGGAACGAGCAGGGATCGAGCAGGGATCGAGCCGGCGCTTCAGGAACCTCATGCCAGGCTCTTAGAATCCCTGGATGGAGCCACGGATGGATTGGATGGGAAGGCGAGGCCGGGATACGGCAGCTCCTGTCCATCCCTGCAATCCCGGCTCTGCTGCATCCAGGGGGATCCCGGTGCCAGCGGCCCCTCCCGGGACGGCTCCGCACCCCAATCCCAGCGGGAAAAGATTCCCGGAGCGCTGCCACATCCCATCCGTGGGGTACAGGATGGTCCCGCATGGCAAACCCTCCTCCCGGAGCAGCGCCCAGGCTGCAATACCCCCAAAAACGCCGCTGGGGGAGGAGAAAACCCCAAACCCCAAAAGCTCCTGGTGGTTTTTGTTTGAGGCCTTGTTTCCCGCCTGTGCCGGGAAAAGCCTGGAAAAGCTGGTGCTGGGAATACCCGAGATTCCCGGGAGAGCTCAGATCCCAAAATAACCCCTGGGACAAGCGAGGTGCGGTGACATCGCAGCTCCCCCTCGGGCAACCCCAAAACTCCACACTCAATCCCAAGGCTCCCGGATTTTTGGATTTGAGGAGCGGGCGGGGGCTGGGAGAAGTATCCCGGGATAAACCGGAGCCGCAGGGCTCGGGCTCCGCTGCTTTTCTGGGGGAATTCGGGAAAAATCTGCGGTGGCGAGGGGGACGCCGTGTGTCCGTCACCCGTGCCGTGCTCCCAAACCTTTCCCCGGGCTTTCAGAGCGGGATTTTGGAGCTTTGGGATCCACGGTGGATCCACGGTGGAGCTGGGAATGGGAAGAGCTCTGGGCGCTGGGCTGCTCTGAGTTCCCACCCCAAAATTCCCACTCCCGACTCCCGGTTCCTGACCCCTCCCTTGCCGCAGGCCGCCGGGGCCAGAGGGAATTCTGTGCCAAAATAAAAGGGATGGAGGCAGGGAAAGGTAGGATCAGCATCCCCGAGCGGCCCCAGCTCTGCGGCACCGTGCTCCCGAACATTCCCATCCCCAAATATTTCCAGGAGGGAAGAGGAGCACCGGGAATTGCGGTGAGTCTTGGGTCGGCTCTGCCTTGGGGATGTTGTTCTCTCTCGCCTTTTAAAATCCCGAGTTCCCATTCCCTGCCCGGCCCTTTCTCCTCCCAGCAGAGACCCTCAGCTCGCTTTTCCCCAAAATCTGGAGACGGTTCCCATCCCTCCCCTGGGTTTTCCAGCGGGAATTTGCCGCTGGAAGGCGCTGGCCTGGATCAGGAGCAGCAAAAGCAGGGCTGGAGGGAGCAGGAGGTGGGAAAAGGCGAGGGGAGACCCTGGCCCGACCGTTCCCAGTGAGAACCACGGCGCTCTCCCTCCTTTCTTTCCACTCTTTATTCCGACCATCCGCTTTGGTTACAGGTCTGAAAGGGTTGGGGGGGTGGGTTGTTTTTT